GACAAAAATATATTTTTTAAAAGCAAACAGCCTGCAACAAAGGTTAAATGTTCAGATAGGACTCTATCAGCTGCTGAGAGAGAAAAAATCAAATCAGTGGTCTTACAATGGATTCCTGGTCACTGTGGCATTAAAGGCAAGGGATACCGATTTTGCAATGCATGGACCGCCTGGTAAGAAGTGCATTAAAGACACTGGTCCTACAATGGATTCCTGGTCACTGTGGCATTGAAGGCCTCTCTCTACCCATGAATCCATTATCAGACATTGATATAATGGATTCCTGGTCACTATGGCATTAAAGGCAATGAGATTTCTGACACACTTGCTAAGAAGGGGACACCGATTTTGCAATGCATGGACCGCCTGGTAAAAAGGGATAGACCGGCCGATGTCTTTCCACACAATGAAGACCTTAATCAAAAGAGAATTTCAGACCTCAAGATGCAACGAACTCAAAGCTCGAACAAAGGAGAAATAGTGGACTACCAACGAACTCAAAGCTCGAACAAAGGAGAAACAGTGGACAGTGGAAACTAATCAGAAGAGAGTTCAAGACCTCAAGGTGCAACGAACTTGAGCTCGAACAAATGAGAAACAGTGGACAGTGGCACTCTCCCGATCAGAAGAGAATTCAAGATCTCAAGGTGCAACGAACTTAAACAACAAAAGAGAAACAGTGGACAGTGGCACTCTCCGACATAGCCGACTACGAGAATCGAAGCCGTTGCTGAGTTTAGACTACGTATCGGACAGTCCACACAATGAAGGCCTTAATCAGGAGAGAATTCATGTGTGCAACGAAATTAAAGCTCGAAACCGGCCGATGTCTTTCCACACAATGAAGGCCTTGATCAGAAGAGAATTTCAGACCTCAAGATGCAACGAACTCAAAGCTCGAACAAAGGAGAAATAGTGGACAGACCTCAAGGTAGAGGAGAAATAGTGGACAGTGGCACTCTCCGACATACCCGGCGGCGAGAATCGAAGCCGTTGCTGAGTTTAGACTACGTATCGGACAGAGCCGAGTTTAGACTGCGTACCGGACACGATTGCTTGACAAAACACCTTCACAGATAGTAACGGACACGATTGCTTGGCAAAACATCTTCACAGATTGTGAGTATACACCCAACCCACATGCCCCCTATGTAACTAACAGGGGGAAATGGAGATGACTCACCTGATTCGGTGTCCAGCTCTAAAGACAACGACGGAAAGCCAAAGATACTGGGAAGCAAGAAGACGGCTAATGAACTGCTATTAATTAACTGCTATGAATGTCAAAGTTTATGGGCTAATGATAAATATCATAAAGCCTGCCATTTGAAAAAATAATAATGTTCTGATAGGACAAATTTAAATGTTTATGGAAATGGCTGAAGAATTTTACATGATTTCTCTGCCACTCATCGCATTAACAGTCCCACGACACTAGGAAACGAGATAGTATGACTAGTACGTTTGAACTGCAACAAGATTTTGCTATTTGAGGTTACTGGGAATGCTGCTCTAAATCACTAGGATGTTAATCAAGTGGCGTGAAGTCCCAGGGCCTGGTTACAACCAACGAGAATTATGACAGAATCCTCCTTCGTAGTAAAGCATGGCCAAATATAGCTTAACGTTACCTCTGTAAAGTGCTGTGGCGCCTTCCATAAAGGGACTTGGAAGGTAATTACTTACTCGAATTATCCTCCTAATCCCGAAACCTTTCTCATTTTGAACTGCCAAAGCTCTTCTCCATTAGAACTATTCGTGTTGCAATTAACTATTTATTCTTGAGGATTAACGACTTTGGAACATATGCAATTAGATTTTAGTAAATACGCAAGCAACGTCTGCTTCAACTAAACTTTACTTCTAATTTTTTGGTAGCAGTGAGCATTAATATTCCATATTTGTTCTATATTTGAAAAATTAAAACTCAGTTTGAAACTTTGAATCACAGTCGCTTCATCTTCCGAGCTAGTATCAACACTATACTTAATCTGTTTCGATTGATTAAAAGAGTAGTTAAGCATAATTTTGGCGATCATAAAATATCAGTCCCCAAAAAACAATGACGCTCAATTTATCTATACTTAGTGACATTCACATGTCCACAGTATTTTCATATTTCAAAATGGATCCTTTTGTGCCGTTTCGTGGGTTTATTGATTTTATACCTAAATATTTCTCACTCGATTAAAAGGCAATTTCATTATAAAGTACTATGCGACTTTCCTAAAATATGGTTTGAGCAATGGGGTTTTGAAGAATGAAGTGAGTCTACTTGTGGGATCTTATTTAGTCCAGTCAAGAGAGATAGCTGTTTTACATTCACATCAGCATCCGCTCCCTTTTCTTTACCCCATTTGGCTGATAAATTCCTCCCTTGCCTGTGTCTTTTGTCAGTTAACTGAACTTGAGTCCAATTTTCCTTACCGATGTTTCAATTAGAGGACAAAGTACAGTAGTGTGAACATGTTTAAGATTGAATCGGAACATCTTTACTAACGAATGCAATGAAACAGAAAAAGATTTTCGGACCCGCAAATTTATTTATTTATGTTAAATGACAGGCTTTATGATAGTCATCATTAGCCCTTCAGCTGACTTCGGGCTTCACAGAAGGGAAGATAATCAAAGAGAGAAAATGTCGAGAGGGGGAACAGAAGGGTGGTTCACAGATGTAAAAGAGACAGACAAAAAAGAACGATGAGTACTGTGGAATCGGTCGAATATGACATACAGTCAGACCGGGGTAGTTTGAAATCAGAAGTCAACTACCGATTTAAAGACTTTTTTGTCATATGATTAAACGTTACCTAGAGTGCAGCATGTGGAGGTCAGTCTATTGCGCACCCGCCGTAAATTTATTTAAATTCCTAAAAAAACTGATCTAGTCAAAAATAATGAAAATAATAAGGGGGTGATACCAATAAGACATCGCATCATTGAAATATTATTTCTTTTAACTTATATTTACCATAATTTCCCTCGGAATTTGTAACTAATTTCCATTAATCTTGTGCCTTTCCAATACCTTTCTTTGAAATCAAGATTACTCAAGTATATTAATCGCTCAAGTAATTGCAGTTGGGAAATTCTTTTCTCTATTGTCGAACGACATGCGCATGGAAGGGTGAAAATCGAGATTTGGTGAATACCTCCAATAGAAATGGCACAGAAATTTTGTAAATGGTTTGAAACTTTCATTTTAAGCAAAATTTCATAGCTCTAAAATTTTCAATATCTACAGATGGTAAGGACAAAATTCGCAGAAAAATATTAGTTATTATTCAGATGCATTTAATGTTTTGTACCCAAAGTTCATATAAATACACGTGATGACAAAGAGAATGATCAACCGGAATCCACCTTGATCACCGTTTTAAGTTTTAAAAAGCCAGTAGTTGGAATTTCATTGCAATCTAATAATTTTGGAACTCGAAATCCTAATTTAACTGTTGGAGTGCTCGAATAATGAAGTTTTAATGTGCATACCCCATCAAGTAGTTCAATGGCACACATAACGTATAGTGGGTGCTGCTTGAATGAAAGACCAATGTCGGAGGATGTGAAATGGTGTAATGAACCATTATGAATAAATTATTTAATCAATAACAACGTCAATTAACCCCAGTCGTAAAAGAACGATGCGCATGCACGTAAATGAGAATGCTGTAAAGAAGAATTATGCACGAAGAACCTAATAAATAACGGGTTAATGAATGACAGGGTAAAATATATTGTGGGAAGCAGCGCATGGACCTAGAGAGCATTTCTTTAATTCACTTAAGGGGGTATTCTGGTCTAGAGACATGAATTTTAGGTCATTTTGAAGTGCTGTAAAAAAAGCAAGCAAAATTTTTATTATCAATTTTTTATACATTATTTATTCACCTTAGAAGCATACAAAAAAACTAAAAAATAAAAAATTTAAATTTTGTTATTTACCAGCTGATGGAGTGGGGCGTCCCAAAAATATGGATTTTAGCTCTCCAAGCAATCTGAAATCAAAAAATAAAAAAAGATTATCAATCTACAATGATGTCGCTATGTCCGTAACTACGGAAAAGTTTTAGATATATTTTTTTACAAAATGGCGACTGTCTAAAAAACATTTTCGTACCACTTTCTTGAACATTCTTCAATTTTTTAAAAATGGTAAAAATAAAAATTTTTAGATGGCCATAATTCCGGACATGGCCAAGTTCCTAAAGAAGCCACTCTTAAAATTTCAAGTAAATCGGTTGGGCAGAGTCTGAGAAATCGTGGGTAACAGTTTAAAAAAACAGTTTTGAGAAAACGCGTTTAAAGTTTCCAGTAAAATTGTTGCAGTCTAATCATGAAATTATATTTTTAACTTACATTTATTCAATCTGCCATTCCTTCTGCATACATCGCACCTTCCTCGACTTCGAAGAAAACTATTTTCCGCGTCTCTGTTTCCTATTCGAGCAGTTCTGGTCTCCTTTGATGCGCTGGATGCTTGTATCTCGTATCTCGGAAAGGTCAATTCGAGCGTTGTCTCGTCTGATAGCAAATGCATGAGCTTCTGGACCACTTTTCACTTCCCTAGTCGTCATTATCTTCAATATCGGTATAAATCCTTCAGTAAAATACAAACAGCAATAAGTGTTGCAATTTCAGTGATCTGAGACCCGGAATTAGTATGCTTTGGAGCGAAATTCCATATCAGCGAGGTTAGAGACTCATCATTATTTTGAGTTTTTGAACCCAAACATCGAATTAATAACTCTTCTGATGAGAAAATTCGAAGGATTTGCCAACGAATGGACATGGTGAAATGTAGAATGTAGACTATTGCAACTGCATTGTAATGCAATTTTGGACCCGAGTCCACGTTGAGCCGTTCTTAAAAGTCTAATCTCGTTGTTGTATGTAGTACACGAAACTGTAGCGGATTGCTACTCTAGTAAAGCCTGACTGACGGGTATCGCGGATAAAGTGTACACGCAGAGAGCTACTCATGATCAGGATGGGGGATTAGGTTAAATAGAGGTTAATGATTGGCCACTGTTTGTACGGTCGCTGCACACAGAGTTGTACGGTCGTACCTCCCAATCCTGGCGAGCAGACATGCAGGCATACGATGACGCACACAGCGATAACGTGTCCCACAATACTCCCTCCCTGGAGCGTTTGTAGGGAGCTGAAAGATAAAGAAAACGCTCGATAATCAGTTAAGGTACAACAACAACTAGTTGGGAGGGGAAGGTAAATCTTCGGCCTTAGAGTAACAAGGTTTTGGGTAGAGGTGGGACAGGTGTTGGAACTGCTGAGACGGGATTGTTGGAGTGAGAGGCAGTAGGATTGTGGACTTCGTGCATGCTTGTAGACCTTGCCGGCTGAGCGAGTGAGGCAGTATTTGGTCCACTGACGAGCACCCTG